TAAAATGACTTTTGTAATTTTCCCATTCCGGCTTGAGATTATCGCATATATATATTTTTACTATATAACTTATCCCCCGCATTTTATTAATGTATATCTTTCCGTTTCTCGCGAATCATGAATTAATTTAAAAAAAATTAACGAAAAATGGTTAATTTAAAAAAGATTAACGAAAAATGGTTAATTTAAAAAAAAAAATAATTAAAAATTACAAATTAAAAAAATAAATTAATTAAAAAAGAAAATTAAAAAATAACTAAAAAAATAAATTAAAAAATAAAAGAATTAAAGACAGTATTGAAAGATTCAATTTTTAATTTATTTTCTATTTTTACTATTAAATTAGAACTTGACCTTAAATGGATAATTTGTGGCACGAATATTAAATATCCGACATACTATAAATTCAAATTTAAAAATAATTATATGTTTATAGTGTTAGAAGAGAATGAGTATATTAAAAGTATGCTAAATATATCGAGTATAAAAATGCGTAACGTAATAGTAAAAGTTTAAAGAATGTATTAACAATGGTGTTTATGATATATTTTTGATATACAATTCTTTTTGAAAATATTATTCATACAAAGTTGATGCTCGTGAGAACATTTTTACACAAAATGAATTATGATATATTGTTGTATATTACAATATTTTTTATTTATATAATGCTTGTCCATTTGAAGAACGTAATTTTCGTTAAATGTCGTAATAATTATGTCTCTTTAAATATTGTACTACCCTTCAATAATATTATATTATATTTCTCCATTTTTGGTATTAAAAACTTTTTTTTATTACGTAGATATAGAATTTTATTTTATTTTATCTATATATATAGCAATAGTTCTTCAATGTAAATCATTAATTCGTTATCTATTATTAGATTATTAGATCTAGATCTATACTCATTTTATTATAGTATTTATTACATTTATAACTAGTATTCTAATTATCGATTTCTTTATGATCTTCGTCGTCTTTTATTATTATTATTTACCGAATTGGTTTGTGTTATCAACCCATTTTTTGAAATCTTATTCTGTTGTTGTCTATTTTCGAATGCCTTAAGATCTGCTGTAAATAAAACCTAATAAATATATTATTATTATTATTATTATTTATTTATTTTTTATTTTATTTTTATTATTATTTTATCATGTTTTATTATTACATAATTATCACATTATTATTTTAAAATTATTATTGTAATTACCGAATGAGCCCATCCACTATAATCACCAAATAATTTTCTAAAATGATTTCCTACAGCTTCATACGCGCGACTTGTTAATGTTTTACTCCCTTTATTACCACTATTAAATCCATATTCTCGTTTAGCAATTTGCCAAACGTGCGTATCCACTGGTATGGCATTATGTTTATCTAATGACATTAAACACTAAACAAAGTAAAATTATAATAGAAGATGGATATATATAACAAAGGGATATAGTAGATTAGTGAAATTCAAGAATTAACTCGAGATTTTTCGTTCCTATACACAAGATTAAAATGATTAACCGAATAAACGCCTTCATGCAGCTCAATGCTTAATATTGGTGATTACCGATATATATTAGACTTAATATATTTAGGCCAATAGAATACATAAATGAATAATAATAATAACTTACTACACAATCTGCAACTTTGGGCCCAACCTGTTAAAAAGATGTACGTGACGAAAGAAAGGACGAAAGAAAGAAGGAAAGATGTAATAACAGAAGCAACAAATGTAATAACAAAAAAAAAGGATGATGATTCAAATTAATCAAATTGGAAATATTTAGTATAATAATCGTTGTTGTCCTATAGTTCTTATTTCATATGACCTTTTTTTTTTTTTTAATCAACTTACGCCTGTTAATTGTAATAAAGCCTTATGAGCTTCCTTGTAATCCAACTTTCGTAATGAATGTAACCATTTTTCACCACTAATACTACCATCATTACCATCTTCATCATCATTTGTTAAATGTTTTTCCATCAAGATTTTTGTAGTTTGTGCAATATATTTTGAGCGATATCCAAATCCAAGTTGTTTAAGTTCATTTTCAATTTGTGGTAAAGCAAGTTTTTCAAGTACTGGGAAATCATAGTATTCTTGATCATTTAAAGTATATACTTTTTTACCATATTTACGACATAGTTTTTCGATCTACCGAAAATTATATATATATATATGTATAAATAAATGATAATAATAATAATAATAATAATAATAATAATAATAGAATAAGGTTTTTACACACACACACCCACAAATATATAAAAGAAAAATTAATAGATCACCATTTGAGTTATTCTTGTAATATTGTTATTTGTTGAGCAAATAAAACAAAATAAATTTTCTACCGGATCTTGCCTTAATATTCGAATTCCTTGAAATTGATTTGCTATCTTTGCAAAATGACCATCTACTGAACTCCATTTATTATAATATCCTTTTAAATTAATATTTAATTGAAAGTAATCCCATAGAAATTCATGAATCTCATCAGAAGATAACTGTTGTAATGATGAAGAATTATTAACATCTTGAGTAGGGAAATGTGCTTTATATTCTATACTTGTCGCTAAAGATTATGAATTAAAAAATGGATTAAATTAAATTAATTGATTATAAATCAATCACTTAAAAGAAAATCACAAAAAAAAAATGAAATTACACACAAAAACGCAATTAATAATGAAATTCAATTATATTGGATCAAAAAAAAAATTCCTCTCCTTGAATTTAGGGAATTCTTTATGAACATATAATAATAATAATAATAATAATAAATATTATAATAATTATAATAATTAAAATAATTAAAATGACAATAATTATAATAATAAATAATAAATATTAATTGATAATAATAATAATTAATTACCTGTTTGTCTCAAAGTAATAAGTTTTCCCTTGAAAGCACAAGACCTTTTGTGATCAATCGTATAGAATTATGAAATAAGTTTAAAAAATGATTTATCAATTTTAATTATTATTATTATTATTATTATTATTATTATTATTATTATTATTATTATTATTATTATTATTATTATTATT